CGCATACCACACCTAGAGTTGCCGGTGATGATTTCATACCGATTTATCGGATATCGAAGTTATAACAGGTAAAAGAACTAATATTAATTGCTATTTTGGTAACTACTCAAGCAAACCATAAAGTTTTAAATCCCTGGGTCTATCATTTAAAAAAATAAACAACTTCAAAAATACGTCACGACAATCGTGTGTGTTTGGGCTGGTGATTTCAGTGTTTATTTATTGAAAACATACCGTAAGTAGCGTTTTTTAAGTTTACCCTGAATATAAATGTTTATAAACTATACTTTAAGGAGTAATTTCATGGTAAACGTTAGAACCGCTCAAATGGAATACTATCATATTTATCCAAGTACACCAAAAATTTCATTAGTGCTTTTTAAGTGCAGGATTTGCGGTTGTTTACTGCATTTTATTTGAGATGTTTTTGTTGGTAGTACGGAGGGTATTTATTTAGCAATGCAGAATAATAGTATATATTTATAAAAACTTGTATTTAAACTGAATGCTTTTCTAATTTGCGAAACCAAATAGCCGCCATTTTGCGGTAGGAGGAGCGCATCGCGTGAGCGGCTAGACGAGGTCCTAAGGCGAGGAGACGTGTGGGGCACGTGAGTTGCCCTTTAAGTCGGAAGCTATGTCCGTCGTCACAGGACATTGTAACTGGAATCTCCGGCACTAGCCCGGAGAGCTAGTAGAGAATGAGCTAATTATCCTTCGGTCCCTCCATTTCTCCATTTCTCCATTTCCATCCCGGCATTTTTTATTTATGTAAATCAATTCATATAAAGAAATAGCCTAATAGAAGCATTTTGTAATAATATCATCAAATTTGAATAAACTTTACTTACTACCATATTAAATATTTAGTTGAAAAAAGTTTGCGCCCTCATTTTCGAGGGTTAATGGGTTTAAATCTGACAAAGCAACTGGTTAATTGAAAATGAACTACTTTTTTCCGGAAGTAATTATTTTGATCAGCCTTGATCATGTGACCTGTAAAGAACCCGAAACATAGGTGTTTGAAAAAAAACAAATGTACGCGATTTTAATTTCTAAATCACAAGGACCACACACTTGTCACAAGATCATCTAGTAAATTAGAATTGAAATACCATAAAAATGTGTTATATAATAACATCAAATATAGTTATCTTGGCAATTCTGTTTGCTATGAGTACCATACCAACATAATGAAATTTACTCCAGAGGAGAAACTTGTAAACGAGGTTATATAGAAGCTTTATACATATGTGGGAGCCTCCGATGCAATTTGAAAGGAAACTTAGTTATGTTTGTGTATATGCGCGTTGTAAATTGGAACTATAGAATGAATTATAATAAAACGTCCGAAGGGGGTAACCGAGCAAAAAATACATTTTAAGTAATTATTAAATAAAGTTCAAATCACTTTGATCCGGCTGGATTCGAACCAACGTCTCCTGGCAAAAAAAGCCTAAGCCTCGGAACGAACCGATGAACCTGGTGAATTTTTCCATCTGCTTGTAGCAGATCTTTGTTTTTTGCCGAAGCGCCATCAGTGAAAAATCTATGAGTTTCATTTTGTCATTATAGTATAGGTAATTAATTGTCACAGTGCCAAACAGATTTCTACATTGCAACTGTTATGGACAGGCACGTCGTTTAACTCCAGACACACGATTTGTTCGTCCCTTCCCTTGGTATCATAAAAAAATAGAATTCGTGTCAGCTACGAACAAGAACAATGGGGCAAATTGTTTCGTGTACTGCAATATGTTGCATTCTTTTGTTCTGAGTGTTTTCCAACAGAATAAATAGATAACTTTGTGGTACTGCCTGCGTCCCACTTCTCCCAAAATAAAAATGTAAATAGAATATATACGGAATACCCTCAAATGGTTGGTCTTATGAATTATAGATAAGCGCTGAATAAAATTACCTCCCACTTCACCTGGGACAAAGAATTTACACATTTTTCTGGAGTTTCTTTGGGATAGATTAATTTAAAAGTGATTTTTGAATGCAAATTCAGCTACAAATGAAGTTTTTTTTTTTCTCAAGAACTTTGTCACAAAATGGGTGTCAATTTTGAAAATCTTCCTTGTCATAACTCACGAAAATTCTATTAGCATTTTTAGGTGAAATAATTTTGGAGCGTTCTTTAACTTTTTTGGATTTAAATTCTTTCACTTAGACGCGGTCAAGACTTGTGCCGTCAGCGGAATATATAAAATCTTATCTGCATAATATTAGAGGAAATAAATTTTGGGGCAAACATGCTTCAAAGCTATAACAATAACTTTTTCTGGTTCAAAATTCTTTCACTTAGGTGCGTATCAGTATTAATGCTCTCTCATCTATGGCCCAACTGTTTGCGTTATGGACACTGGAAAAGAAAGTCCACGGCTTGATTACTGATAAAGAGAGACAGGAAATGTAACTATTTTTTAGATCTTAAAAGACCCGTAAAATACGAAACATTTTTTTTAATATCAAGGGACGGGACTAACAAGCCGTGCGCCTGATGGTAAGCTACACGCCTGTCCATAACAGTTGTAGTGCCACTCAAAGTTTAGCCATCGTCACGCAGTTATGTTCATATTACTGTTTGGCGGCAGAAATAGGCAAGGTGGCAGTACTTTCCTCGACGACCTCTTTCACAAGGAGCTCTACTGCTTTGGTTTGTTTGAAAAAACAAAAATACTCGATTTAGACCCGAAGAAATAGTTTCATTTCCTATATGTAACAATCGCAAAAACCTTACAACTCGATATGTACTTACATAAAATGATGATTGTTAATTGACACAAACAAACATTAACAATAAACAAACCTTTATTTTGGCATGCGTGTAAAGTTTATCAGTTAATAATATCTAGACAATAACGATACACAAAGGCAGCAGTTTTAATTTAGGCCGGCTACGTACACCCGGAATCGCGTTCTGAAATTCCATTTCGGAATTTCGAAGGCAGCAAGACCATACAAATCACGGACTTACCACACAAATTCAGATGTTACCGGGCCTATCGCCCAGCGCCCGCTTAACGTTGAGTTTTGGGACATATATTATAAATTATGGTTTCTTTTTTAAGAACTTGTTTAAAATACTAAATAATATAAACGAACCTTATAGAAAAACAACACCACAAACAAACAAATAATAAAATATTGTCCTCTCATTCACCCGCGCACCATCCTCATCACACCACACACTCTATTTAACACCAGAGGACACGGCTGAGCCAAATACACACACACAAACTTACGCAAGCGCAACCAGACAACGCTGACGAATTTGGCAAAGCACCGGAAAACGATATTATTTTATGTTATATTGCATTAAAACAAGTTTTGTATGACTTCATGTGTAATTAAATTTTAAAAAATGCTGTACTATTTATTCCGTTTCAAATTTTTTCCGATTCCAAATTCCGTAGGTGGCTTGTGGAATTGAAATTCCGCGCGGAAAATGCAGTTCCGAATGCAAGCCTTCCATAGATTTTGTAGGGCCGCAACATAAGTCGTAAATTCCGTACGTATTTTTCCTGCAGAACATCCAGACTCTTGTTATTCCAAACGGAAATAAAGTATGTGTGTGATGTATATACGGAATCTCAAATCGATATTCCGAGACGGAATTTCAAAACGGAATTCCGACTATATGTAGGCGGCCTTAGTACATTACCTTTTATATTTGGCAAATAAACTTCGACTATTTACTTAAAATAATAATATAAAGATTTATAAGAATAAGAAAGATTTCTTCAATCGTATAATTTACCATGCATTACTTACTAGAAGAATCTTAATTGAATCGTCAAAAGTCAATCAATTTAAATTGAACCATGGCAAAGAAACAAATCAATAAAATTAGAGGGCGTTAGAAACTGGTTGTGTATACATATCTACAAATGTGGTATAGATAACATTATACGTAGAATTACTCTACAACATGTGTAGTATAATTTTGAAGTAGTGAGCGACCACATCGTCAGATGTTTTTGTTTTTTTCTATCCAGTACTTATTCGGGTTTTGTTAAGAGGTGATCATTGTGTTAAACAGTGTTATTTTAAAAGTAACTAGTGATTTTAAAATTAACTTCTTGTAAGAATATCAAGTACAGTTATTGTAACAAATAACTACATCTATAATATAGTGTAGTATGCGTCAAAAAAAAATCATGGGTTTGAAACGGAAATGTGTATCCATGTGTTAGAAAAATCTTTTTTATCAAATTAAGCAATTAAGTTACATTAAGTAATAGTAGATGGTACATAAGTGCTTAAAACGCGTCATTTTACTCGAGACGAGTATATGCCTCGCCTGCGGCTCAGGTGGATACTTAAGTCGAGGTTAAAATGGGTTTTATGAACGAGTTAACACTCTGTTTTTCACTTCGATTGCGAGGAAATTAAACGGCAATATTACAAATAAACGATTATTTAATTAAAATAGAATTAATAAAAATAATTTTTTTATGCATTTCTATTTCTTACAACTTATTAGAATTACTATTGCCTACTTTTTTACTTTTGTAATATAACACGGGTTAAAAAAATGTGTGTGCGTGGCTGTTGGCGCAGGCGTCATTGCCTCGGTCGTAAACGACGATTTTGTTTTATGCACTAGAGCATAAAATCCTATTTTATGCAGTCTACACCCAGCATAAATACGAACTTTAAGAGCATGAGATATGAAAAAGTTTTTTAAACACCAATTGCTTTTTTTGACAACTTTATGTTGAAATTCAAATTATAAAATTGACCAAAATAAAAAATTAAAAGTCCTTATTTTTGGTAATTGGCTAAAACGTGTTTGATTCATAGACACTTTTCATGCAAGTATATAAACATATACACAATAAGTTAGGTTATTCTTATTATTATTATTAACGCACTCATAGCCCCGCACTAGGGAAACCCTGTGTCGCGAGTGCCATGGACACATACGTTATGGACAACCACAAATTACACTCAAACTCACGAGGGAAATAAATGCAAGCCATATAAATATTTCTTGAATTTTATTCACATGAGGTCAGTACATAAAATTAACTATTCAAGCAAGGTTATCTACAATTATCAAGTGTTCCAATGTTGACAATAATAAGGTCATTTTATTAACCGACTTCAAAAAAAGGAGGAGGTCCCCAATACGACTGTATTTTTTATTTTTAGTGTATTTCTTATTTATATTAGTATTTGAGAACCGATTTTGATGATTCCGTGTAAACTAGGAGATGAATCCAGTTTCGTGCACTTTCCGTTAACAGATTTCTATAAAACTTAGCAAATAGATGTAATTCCAATAAAAAAGAAGATAATTAAAGATAAAGAAGATAGCTGAGTGTACGTTTACAACGCTTGATACGTTTTGCGTTTACAAAGAATGCTAACAATAATATTCTACCTCCAAGGGTGGCAAACTAGGGGATGAATGACTTTGGAGGTCGGTTTTTTAGTACCTACTCTGTACTGATTATTTCGATTCGCTAAATCGCGTGTAATTGTTTATTTTTAAACAAACCAACGTTTCGTGCTCTCTACAGATCCCACAGTCATGGCTTCTGAGATGGATAATCAATTTTATTTAAAAAAAGGACCTCAAAAGTTCGTGGTATTACATATCGACCCCTCCTACGTAAAGTATCGTATGTCGAAATTGCCAAGTTTACAGGGGAGCGTTTTAAAGTTCTGAATTC